ATATCATCACATAGGAAGTCTTCATTTAGGTAGTATTATAGGGAAAATACTAAGCACAAAATATTTTCTCTTTTTGTTTCTTCCCTAGACAAATCTTAGTCATTTTTCTTATTATCGGCTTAAAGTATCATACTGGTATTTAATAAAGCTCAGTTTACACATATGAATTTTAGTATTCAGCCTTCCAGAAACAATCCTGGATAGATCATGCCATAAGAACACAGTAGTAAAGTCACCAGTAGTAACTCCTCTACTTCGTTTGCACAAAACCTGACAGCATGACTCTATAATGGACAAGAATTCCCAAGAAAGAAATGCCATAATTGTAGCCTCTACTCTTGCAATGTTGATGAGCTGATAAACGTTACAAGGAATACTGAAGACACACCACACATAAAGGGCAACATGAAATAAAGGCCTTAAGCACAGTGCATAAACCACTGCATGCTAAATGATTAACCATTGTCCTCATAGTGGAGAATACATGCGTGTGTGTACAAGAGTGAGCATCTTTATACACTGCATGCAAAAATGCCTTCACTCAAAAAAACTAATTAAAATAATTATCCAGACACTCTGGATCTTTATAGTAAAGATGTATAAAATAATCATTTAAACACCTATGAGTTCCTATACCATTGGTTCTTTGTTATGGGGATCACACTGGGAGTTCAAGATGTTAGAAATGGAGAATACTACAGAAAGAAAGCAAAATAAATTGAATTCTTCCCAGTAAACACCTTGTAATTTGATGATACATAATGAATGATTACTAGATTTGCTTAGCAGCAAGAGGTGTGTTTTGGTCACCCAAACAGTATTTCCCAAATCAATCATAAAAAACATAATTGATTGTTGTTATTCTACACCAAAAAGCAACCTATGGGATGGTGAAAGGGATTACGCACGTTTCTTTGATCTTTCCAAACAGATTTCACTCAATAAACTGCTTATGTGTTTTTATAATCACATCATACTAGAGGCTGTTTTTCACTGTCAGGAAAATTTCTCTGGGTGAGAACGAAGAGTAACTAAAAACAGGTCCACAGGGATTTCCTGAAGAGGAATAAACAGCTTTTCTAAACTCCAAGATGGGTGAAGAAAAATTTGTCTTCCACTGTACTAAAGGGAAAATTTCTCTTAAAGCATCAACAAATACCTTCCTACACAAGCTATACTCTGACAAAACCACAATGTACACCCCTTCTATTAAACATGTGATGAAATGGACAATTTCTATTAAATCTGAAAGGGAGACAGTCTCAGATAACAGTGACAACTGCATTCTGCCCAACTCATATTGGTTTCGCTGCTTCCTCCTCATTCAAACATATGCTGAACTTGGGAGAAAATGTGTGATAAATAAGGGGGCTGAGGAGGAATCCCTGTTATGTGGGAGAACTGCAGCAACACAGGGCTGTTAAAGACTAATGGCAACAGGACTGGGGATAAGAGCTGCTAATGTAAGACATTATACACAATGTGGGAAGGAGAGAAATGGGGTGAAATCCTGGGTGAAAATTATATTTTGAGAATATAGTTGTAAATTTGAAGCCACATGTAGCTTCGAAACCTACTTAAGGAACATACTAGTATCATGTCCCCCCCACGACATGCACTTGTTCACATTTTAACAATGTTAAAATTGCAGGCCCCGCTCATGTCAACACGTCACTATGTTTGAAAGGCACTGAGCTTGCTGATCTACCTTTAGCCAGATTCCCTTGTGTACAGCTTTAAGGTAGAACTGAAAAAATACTGAACTTCACAGGATACAAACTTTTCTTATACAATCAGAATGCAAATGATTAGCTAATGAAATACATTAATATAATATCAGGCACAGACAGAAGGAAATAAAATACATTTCTGCAGAAGAGATTAGCATAGATATTTCAATGGATTAGGAAGTTTCACTGACAGAAGGTATATTTAATATATAAAATCCATATAATGAGAAGCAGTTGAAAAAATAGGACAACTGTCATGTGTCCAAGAAATATCTTCATAAAAAAGCTGTCACATATAAACACTTCTCAGCAACAAAACCCTCTGCAACTGAACAAGGCAAATTTAATTCTGAATGTACAATGTGCCTCATCATGGATCTCAGAATTACTAATATCCTTGAGCAACTGGATATCTCCAAATTCAAACAGCACTTACATTTTTCTTTTAAATAACTCCTGCCTGACACTTATGATTAGTTGTACATAAAGACTGTTGGTTTATTGTAGCAAAAGGACAGTTAAAAAGGAATACAATAAATTTGTATAAATATACCCAGAGGCAAACACCTGAGAAGGGTAGGAACTAATTAAGCTCAAGGCCAATGCTGGCAGAAGAACAAATAGTAATAACTTGGCCATGAAGAAATTCAGGTTGCAAACAAAACAACCTGATATTTTCAGATGAAAATTCACAGTTTTGTGATCAAGATGACCTGGCTGTTCTCAATAACAAGGGCTTGAGCTCAAGAGCCCAAGGATGCCCTTCACTTCCAGTCATACATCCTAAAAATACAATGAATTTTAACACTCTTGCAAAACAAATAGATGCTAAATCCTGTAATAAATCAGCCCACTGAAAAAATATTTTATTTGCTATATTGATAAGATAAAGATACCTATAAACTCAGAAGTGAATGAATTCCCAGAGGTTTAAAAACTGATTTGCATAGTTCCAGAAGACCATGGATCCTATTCAAGCAATGATGACTCTGAAGGATCCTTTCTAGCAACAGGTAGAGCTACTTAAATTCTGTTACAACAACAAACTCTGGAAGATCACTTCACTTTCTCCCAATATTTCTTATTCTTGTTCCAACCCTCAAAAACTGAGAAGCGAAAAAAATGCTGACAACATGATGCCATACCATAATAGAAAATAAGGAACAGCCTTATCATCTTTCAGGCCCCATGGAACTTGTTTTTATTCTGCCTCTCACAAAACCTCATGAAAATAATACTGAAGAATAGCCAGTTCACATATGGGATACACCAATCAATCACAAACCTGGTCCATTCACTGCCCTTTTTCACCAACTTTAGTAAATTTTATTCACAAACCTATTGAAAACACACAAATCAAGCAAGTACGTTTAGAATATTCAATGTTTTGTGTCATGGGGTGCTTTTTTCCCAAGCTGCGAAACTAGCAAACTTTTCACTAAGGAATTTTGCTCTAGAGAGGTGAACCATCTCATCCTTAGATCAGAATGATTAGTGGTTCTTAAGGGACCTGGAGAAATCTGTTCTATTGTCAGTTGATCCTCTACCAGATCCATGATTTAATCTCAGCATTTACTAATAAATACTTATTTAGTCATTAAATACAACAGCCTTTTGAGTCTTTGACAATACTCATGTTCAACAGAAATGCCATTTTGATTAATCCAAACCTTTTTTTCAGAATGCAGAACAAATCAATTGCTTTTCACCTATTTTTTTACATAAAAAATATTTTCCTTTCTTTCCCTTCTCTCCCTCTTTTTCTTTTATTGATTGTTTAAAAAAAACAAACCCACAAAATACATACAATGACCAAATATGGATGTCCTTGATAATCATCATTTTTTTTCCCCAAAAATGTACCTGCAATATAGCACACATGTAACTCTTAAGCAAGAAACACTCAAGCACTCCAGTATAGGATGCCCAGACCACAATATGACAAACATTCTCTTTCTGGATAAAAGCATACTTAAATTCTTGTAAAAACAAAAAAGCTGATTATCACTGACAGTTTAGGGATCTTCTGTGTTTATTGATAATGATACCTATGTTTATCCTTAATTAGTGTTGCTTTGCTTTATTAGAAATATTACTTGGGGGACAAATAATTTTGTTCATCACATAGGTAGTTGTTTTTTCAGAAAAAAACCTTTTCTGTTTCAGCTGCTTTTCACTTCAGACTGAACCAGAAATCAATTATTTCCAAGGTACTGATGTGAAGTTATTAAAAATGGCTTTATACTCTCAAAATTCCTCTTTCCTATCTTTCTTTCTTTCTTTCTTTCAAGGAAAACACCTATCTGCAACAAGACTTAATTGCAACAGATGGAGAACATTTGCTAGTATAGCTTCTTCTTTCTTCCACTCTGGTGTGTTTTTCTTTTTAAATTGAAGTGCTGCAGGTGGTAAAGATAATACTATTACACACATATACATATACATATCTATATGCATGGATACATGCATTCATCACTATATCCCTATTTATGGACGGGAAATTTTGAAGCAATTTACAGGAAAATATGGACAGCTTTTGCAGGTGGAAAGTGAATGTATTTACAGAAGCTCTAAGGAAATTTTCATTGTGCTAATGCAGTGCTATGACTGTTCAAAAAACTCAGTGGATGTGATGACTCTATAAATATACACACTATTCTTATTCAGAATTCAGGACACTGTATCTCACTGCATTCTTATTCTGCCTCATTTAATACTCACAGGCAGACTGTAAGAAGGTTCCAGTATCACTGGCACTGACATCTTCCCTTGAAGATTCAATTTTGTCAAGTAAAAAATCTTTTCTCCCACAATCCTCTCTTTTTTCATGCGCCGTACGCTGTACAGTCGAAAGCGAACTGCATAATTCCCAATCATCTCAGACTCAACGTGATTAAATTTGAATGTCTCTGTGAAGACAGGGCACGGTCCCCGCTGGATGCTGGTTTTTGCTCTCTGCTTCTTTATAGGGAGAAGAACTAGGTGTACTTGCCACGAGCTTCCACCTGTCCTGCTGTATGTTGGAATGTCTGTGACAGCTGTCACTGTCACCAAAAGCTTCTGTTCCTGTGAGTCATAGTCAAAAGTCACATCTAGTGTGCCATATTTAGCTACTGGCTCAGGATCAAAAGGTTTAGGAAGCTGTGAAGATGATCCTCGAGCTGACATATCCTGAAGAAGAAGAGAAAAAAGCCAATTATTTATTTATTTACTGTATTCTATTATTAAATCTAGAATGGAAATACATGGTTTACTCTAGACAATATGAAGGCACTATGATCTTTTTTGTTCATTTCATAAACAAGATTATTAAGCACTGAAAGCCCAAGGAGATGGCTGACTGGCAGTCAAGATAAAATCAAAACTTTACCTGGCCAATACCACCAAAAACCAGGAGCCAATCAGTATCAACTCAGATTGAATTAAGCTGTAATGATCTCTTCTTCTGTGCCCCACATGTTGAAAAGTATATACATTTGTTACAAGATAAAAACCACCTAATTTCACATATTTCGTATACATATTTTAAAGTTCACCTATTACATTGCTTGAAGAGACAGATAATGACTGAGAGCACAGGGATATGGCAGCAAAGAATACAGGAATTACAAACCTACTTGCACATACAGCTCCAGTCTCTTGCAGTCCACTAGAGTTATATGAATATGCTAAAAATTATCCTAGAAACATAGAATCACAGAATATTTTGGGTTGGAAAGGACCTTAAGGATCTTTTAGTTCCAATCCCTCTGCTATGGCCAAGGATGTCACTATTGTGGCTTTATTCATGAAATTTTACTGGAACTGTAGAAGTTTTGAACTCATCTTCTGAACTCTCTGTAAACTACATTAGTCCTAAAATCTTATTTTAAACTTAAAATTCAGATGGTTTATTGTCACATCAAATTTTGAGTAAAATACTCGTCCCTTATAAAGTTACAACAGTGAGTTTAATAGGGATACTGAAACAGAAAATATTTACAAGTACAGGTCAACCTACTGCTCATATAATAGATTATTCCAAGTATTCAAAACAAAGGTATTTCAAGTGTGTCTTTTTCACATGAACAAATAGATGTCAAAACAAAGCCTTCTGGGCTAAGAAATGTTCTTATTTTAACCTGGCTGCCACATAGCTGTGGGAATGCATTCCTCTAAAGGCTTCAATCCTGAAGCTTTGTGTGGCTATAAAAAAAGTTGGCAGCATTCTCAGTTCTTACTGAAATATGCTTACATCAACAACTGGAGTGACACAAAATGGGAAGGCCTTGCAGCTGGGTCTTCCAGACCTTGCAACAACACCCCAGGTACACAACATCAGCTTCCCAACAGGGCTACTTAAACAGAAACACCAGAACTGAGCTCTAACACGCACCTCAAAACTTCCAGTAGCAACAAAAGATAAATTTGTACCAAAAGAGTTTCTTCTGCACATGGCATCACTAATTAGACTTACCCATAGATGTCAGTGCAGTAACTGGTTGTTAAAGGCATTTCAATGAAATATGTGTCAGAAAAGAAGATTTCTTCACAGACAAAGATACGTATGTATCATTACAATTTATAGCAGAAAAATAGGAACATTAAGTGGCCCAAATCACTACACCACATCAACAACTGGAAAAAAACCCCAAACCTTTGGAATATTTTTTCCCTCCCATAAAAATTGCTTTACATTATGGGGTGTTCAATATGAAAAAGCATTAACAGAACTTTATTTGGGTTGTCTAAAAAATCATGTGGAAAAATTTTGACTACAGTCCTTACAGAGCGATGAAATTTTCTGACTGGTGTAAAAAATAATTCACTCTTACTGGGAGCTGGTTTGAAAGCTAAGGTGCCATAAAGATAACTACAGCAATCTGAAATCCTATTGTCATATTTTCTGACAAACTCTTTTTTTTTTAATGAAATCAGCTGCAGTATTAGTGCCCATATAACAGTGCATTGATCTTTAGGTTAAAAAAAGTGCTTCACCACACTCAACTATTTTAATTTACCTCTGGACTAAGAACTGCTGTGCTATCACTCGGAACATCCTCTTCGTATCCTTTGTTATGAAAGCTTTCTATTTCGTGTCCCGTGCTTCCCTCACTAGGGCACTTATATGAACACCTCGGGCTGTTGCTACACTGGGAATATTCACATTTGCTGTCTCCGACTTCGGAAGGCGTACAGGAAAGATGAGGAGAACCACTGTCATCCTGGTATGGAGGCGGCTGCAGTTCATCCAGCGGAGGTGTTCTTCTCATCCTCTGAATGCAGTTTGCTGAGAATAAGTTAAAAAGCTTTACTTACTTTCTGATTATTCACAGTTCAAAGAGTTCTGTGGAAAATGTGAATCTAAATGCCTGGACAGAGAATTTAAAAATTTATGTATGTCCTTTTTTTTAACTTTACATTTCATATCAGATGAAAAATACTACTGAAAAAAAAATTTGTTAAAAACGGAAATGAGTGATCTCTCAAATGAAAGAAATTTAGATAAAAGCAAAGTTTTGAGTGTACAGTCAGAATGGATTGTGCAAACCACATGTAAATAAATATAGCACAGATATGACATGACAAAAATTCTACACTTGAATTTCAGGGATGCTTACCTTGCAAAAACCTTTGGATATCTTAAGTCAGATTCTGTGCAGATGTAATGTAGGCCAATTATGGAAACAAAATGCACTCCCTAAAGCCATGATATCAGGCTGATTTCCTCCCATGCAGTTGCCCACCAGGGAGATACTAAATTAAACTCTGAAGACAAGTAAGGTACTAATAAAGGCAACTTTTCACACAAGCGAACTCTGCTCACCAGAATTTAAAAAGTGAAGCAGTGCCTCGGATTCTTTATTATTTATTAAGAACAGCTAAAGGGTACATATCCAGTGTCTGGAAGCTACACACTACCTCTAGTCACTAAAGACAGAGGAAAAAGGATCATGAGCAATCTTGTGCTTGGGATAAATACTTGATGCTGACCATCCTTGCTTTTCACACTAGAAAGATAGATAGATAGATAGATAGATAGATAGATAGATAGATAGATAGATAGATAGATAGATGATAGAAAGAAACGTATACATCTCCTCAGAAATTAAACCTGATGCATGGCTACAGACACATGTAGTTAATTCAAAATAAATTACATTTCAAATTTTTATCTCATATTTTACTATCCAGCATTACAGAGTTGAATAGAATTGGGAAAAGACAGCAAAGTGTGCAGCAGCTGAAATGAAAGGAATATCAAGGACAGGTAAGAAACTGCCTCATAATTCGTTTACATTTTCTGTAGAGATTTTAATAAAGATTTCAATGCCCCTGACATAAAGAATTACCTTATATATAAGAATTTCAAAGCAAAAATGTTTTCTAGTGTCAGACATACCATTTCACTCACAGAAAAACCTACCAAACAAGCAAGGTAAAGAAAGTACTAACTGGGGAATGCAGGGCTCTTCTCTATTTCAATAGCTCCTAAAAGAACCATGGCAAACAAGTAATTAAAACACTCCTACAAGATGAAACCACTATCAAGAGCCCTTGCGTCTCTGATAAACCCATCAGAGCCAGCCCGCCATTCAGAGTGATTCCAAAATACTGTTTCAGCACTCCTGCAAAAGGTCTTCTGCTGTTAGTGAGCCAGTGCTACTAACACTTGAAAATCCAGTCCCACAGGGCTGGAAAACAAAACAGACAGCAGGGAATACTTGAACTGCAGACATCTCTCTAGTAGATAAACATTAAACCTTACCTATGAATATTAGACAGCTTGCACCCATGAAACTAGATAAATATTATTTTAGAATCTAAACTGATATTTTAATAATAATAAAATAATAATATGCATAATTTGTCTCTCTATACCATGAAAACTGGACTTCCTTGTCATAATCTATATAATTAAATATTCTAGAAAATTCAGAAAAACAGCATTTCTGCTCATTGTTGCCAAAAGGCAACAAACGGCATTAAATGAGCTAGCAACCACCTGGCAGCCCCGAGTTTCTTTCTGTTCACTTGCCACCAAGTCTGCTAAGAATTTTTAATGCCCAGCTTTTCCATAGTTTAATGAAATGAAAACATGTCCAGTTAACTAACAACACCATTATTGTCTTACATGAGTAAATAAATGACTGTGTGACTCACTTCACTTTGATGAGCTCCATTATATGTCCCTATGGGAAAACTGTACAGGCTGTGTGACAGAGAAGGTGCTTTTAATGTAGGCATGGAAGAAGTGAAGAAAAAAAATCTTATTAAACAGCTGTGATTCAAAAATCTCAGGAAAAGCTAAGGCACCGAGGCAGGTTTCAACTATATATTTTTCAAATTGCAGTTTAACAAACTGAAATAACATGCAAATTCTTAAAACTAATATCTGGGATTAAAAATCTCAGGATACCTCTGTCTAGAGAGGTATAAACTGGTTTTGAACAACAGCTTTCTCTACATAAAAAGATATCTAAGTTTTCATATTAATTCTCAAGGTGAAAATGTCTCATTTTAATTTTCTGCTCCCCACAGTAAATGATGCAATAAAATATTTTTTTTATATGGTTATTTGAAAACTATGAAGATTTGAATTCCATTGAGACATTCTAATGACTGATGATATCAAAGCCAAATGATATCACAGACAGTAGTGAATACAGCAATACTAAATATCTGATCCTGGGTATTTTCCTTAAAAATTACTCAGAAGTAGCAACTAACTTGGACAATCTAACAAAATTTTGCATATGTATCGAAGTTTAAAGTACAAAACCGCTGCTAGTGCTTGCTGGCTTATCACTAATTGTATTGGAGAAAAACATCTGGAGCTGAATGGCAAGATGATCTGCAGTGTGTGCATATTTACACATGAAACCCCTGTGTGTTACATACCTTGTACCCTTTATTTAAGATATGAACTTCAGACACAGTTATGTATACTTCTGTACTGTGACAAAGCCAAAGAATACCTCCCAAAGATCACTAAACATGGCTAATAACATCTGCCAAGGAGTTATAAGCAAATGGTTACACTGAAAATAAAAAAAAAATAATCATTGCATTGCTTCTATGCAGGTTTCAAATCACATAGAAAATAGCTTTTGTAGATTCATTTGTAAATTAAATTAATCATATTAAATGACCACATCACCTTGGACTAGATAGACAGGGTAAAAAGCCAATATATGTCCCAGAAGTGGAAGTAAGATACAATAGTGGAGAAATCAAATCAGGTTTAGTCTGAGGTTCCTACCAGCCAGAAAATGGCATAACAGAGAAAAGAGAAATATAAAGACCTCACATTCATTTCTCCACCCAAAGGATGTGAAAATACTTGGCATTCTCATGATATGAGTGAAACCAAATTTGTTTAGTAACGAGTATTTGGTAAATTCTAAATTGAGAATACAGTGTATGGGTGTCAATAGGAATATTTGAATAAATGCTTTTTAAATAGGTAACAGCTTTAATAAAAGTTTTCATCCTCCCTTAGTCATCAATGGTGATAGTAAGGACCTTGCTTAACAGCTGAAGAAACCAGAACCATAAATGAGATACCTGACAAACCTGAGCAGATTAGCATTTTGCTGGTACACTTAGAAATTACAGCATGTAAAATGTCATTAGCACATTTAAGTCAGAAGTAAATAAATATCTTCTTTTTAGTACTGTTTGTTCAACAGTGAAGGTTCATCTGTTTTCATAAGCTCCTGGAGGACATATTGCAAGTCAAAGGGGGATGATACATACCCTGCCATCAACCTCAAGAGATTCGCAAGTTAAATCTGACACAGTAACCTAGGCCAAACTGAGCATTCCTGGAACATACAATTGATAACTATGAGAAAATACAGAAATGTTTCAGTCATTTTGCTGGGGGGAATCAAAGTTTAAAGATGCATAAGAAATGCTTTAGGTTTTCAGTTACTACTTCAAATTGCCCCTTCCAATGTTGCTCATTTCTCCTCTCTGTTCTGGTCTCTCATGGACCATGCTAGGCTGCACATTTCACCATGCAGCTGGTGATGTCCTCATCCCATGTTTACAGCATTTAGACTTTCCTATCGCAATTATTTTTTCCCAGAGCAGCAGCTGCTTTCCTCACAGCAGCAGCATCAACCCAACCTCCCTTAGACCATATTTCCTGAGTAATTCCAAGAACACCCATCTCTTAACATGTAAAAAGAAACTACCCTTGTGCCTTTAATTCCTCTGTCTCATAAGTCATCATTAACTACACTTCTGCAGCTTTGGGTTTCTCGTGTACAGTAGTACTTCTTTAAAAATTCACACTGTTGTGGGAGGCAACAGTACCACAACACCCCTATTGGAATCTGACTTCCAGTTTCTTTAAAATAAATAATCACTTCATAAATCAGTAATTTTTGCAAGTCATATTTTGTAATTGTCAGAATATCTTCATACTCAAATGGTACCTTTCCTTTCTCTAATATATCTCTGCTCACACTCTGCTATATAATTTCTTATTTTTTAATCAAACATAAATTTCAAGTTTTCAAGCCTTCAAGGAGTTCTATGTAAATGTTAAGACAATTTAAATAAAACATAAAATGAAATACATGTTTAAAAATTAAAGAAACCTTTCTTATTCTGAATGATTTAATACCCTTAGAGATTTCTGATAGGCAGCACAGACAGTCCAAATGGAATTTTCATGTTTGAACTTTTCTACCATCCAAAAATATTATGTTGACTGAATTACCCCACATTACAGGGAGTATAAAATATAAACATTAAATATTGAATGAAACCTCAGGTCTCTCCTTCCTTTAAAATTAAAAGCTTACATGCATTTTTGTGAGGACAAACCCCAAATTATTTGACAGAACAACAAATTATCTTGGCATAATTCTATTTCTTTTCCAAAAGAATTATGGCATGAGTCATTCTTAATGAAAAAAGGGGAATATGGGAATGGTAGGGGGTCATTATGGACCCCCCATTAAATTTCTCCTTTTCCATTTGCTTTCTTCTTGCATTTGCCACAGGTTAGACTTCTATTTACAGCTGAACTATCTTCTACATTAGGCAATTCACCGTAAACAAGAAAAAGTATCATATCTGTTTGACTGGGGTTTTTTTCCCCCAGTAATAGATAACAGTGTTTCCTAAAGTTAGAAAATTCTACACACTATTAGCTTAATCCCAGACCTATGGAAATCAAAGCAGCATTGCTATCATTTACACCTGATGTCATGTGATGCTTTTAGCACTGCTTTTTCCTCACTCCCTCAAGCTAATGCTGCTGATCATTCAGGT